ATTTATCACAGAGTATATTACAGACCAAATAATCAAGTACATTAACTACATAATCAAATCCTACTCCAAGAATTTCTCTTCACTCATGGTGCTACTTAAGTACCACCTTTTTCCAGAATTGGTACAAGAATGATCATGTTGTCCATGATTTCCCTTTCTTCAGCAACTGGCAATACCAAAAATCCTTAGTAAAGGCCCTTGCTGCCCAATGTGACCACTTGGTTGCTGGGTGTTTGTTAGTCTTCAGTGGTGCTGAACTCCAGGGATAGAGCTCCATAACTAATCTACTGAACTTCCCTAATCCAGAAATGAGAGCCAACAACAGGATAACACTCATGAACACATTCACAAGTGAAGAGTTTTCTTCACCAAAACCAATTCATGAAATCTGGAAGAGGTAATTGTATACAGATATAAATATAAGTCTTTAAGGAAAAATAAAACCTTGATACCACCAATGGAAAACAATGAGTTTCCATGAACCATCTCCAAGGAAATGGACACCTATTGTTTTCTAGATAGAGAATTAAAGCTATTGTTTCATGAAGTTCTGGAAGATAGAATACAGATACATAATGAAGTAAAATCTGGAAGATAATAAATAAAATTAAACATTCAGAAAAGAGATAGGAGTCATATAGAAGAAACCATTTATAAATTCTAAATCAGACAAACAGAAGGAACAAAAAAACAAAGAAGAGAGATCATTACTTAATAAGTTTTATAAAGGTACCTGTCAATAAGAACAAAGTCATTTTATATGTACCCCAAGAGAAAAAAGTATACTAAACAAAGAGACATGAATAACTGGATACTACCTAGTGAAATCAAAATCACAACATGGAAAATCTAGAAGGAATAGAGTAAGGAACAGGTATATTGAAAAGAATAATACTAGCAAATTTACTAAACTTTGGAGAATATTGATATCTAGATATAAAGAATTCTAGATGCTAATAAAATTTCAACTTGAGTAATATTTTAGTGAAAAAGTATTGTAATCCACCCAGAAAATGTTAAGACAAAGATAGTTAGAAAGCAGACAGAGAAAAGAAATTTACCTCATACAAGAGAATTCTCACAAGTAGATTTCTCAGCAGACATCTTACAGACCAGCACCACATGAAATTTATTTTTAAAGTAGTGAAATAGAAACTTCCAAGCAAGAATGTATAACCAAGCAAAACTCTACTTCAAAATGAAGAAAAGTTACCTAGAGAGATGGCTTCATGATTAAAATCACGGGCTGTTCTCCCTGAGGACCTGGGCTCAATCCCCAGCAACCACATGGTGGTTCACAGTCACCTGTAACTCTAGTTCCAGCAGACCCAATACCCTCTTCTGGCCTATATTGGCACTGCATGCACATGGTGCAAACACATTCACACAGGCAAAACACCCGTTGACATAACATTAACAATATTTTAAATGCAGTAAATGCAAATTTTTTCCAACAGTCTACAGAGAACTAAAGAAACAGAGGCAGGAGAATCAAGAGTTTGAGATTAACCTGGGCTACATGAGTCAAAAATCAGTTTATGCTACAAACCAACATCTGTTACAAACAAGGAATTAAAAAAGCCTTGTACAGTTCAGGAGCTAAAAGATGTTAAAGATGTCATACAAGTCAAAATAATAACACTATTAACACAGAAAACATTTGGAAACAAAAAATATAAAGAATATTTATAAATTCTGATAAAGAATAAATATACAGTAAGAATCAGAACATTATGATTGTTCAGTGGTGGTGCATATATCATTTAACTGTAGAATGAATGTTAATAGACAAAAGTATTAAAAATAACTACCATAAAAAATAATGTGTGTGTGCATGTGTTTGATGGACTACAAGTACATTTAGGATTGAGGCAACAACAAGCTGATAATATAAAATTTTATCCATCCATTGTGCCTCTGTAAGGCTGAAAAAAACATACAACAATATTTATTTTTAAGGGCATATATTACAACACACGTAAGTAAGGATGTACAAACAGGTTTGTAGTGTTCATGGACGGTTCGGGTTTCAGTGTTATTAGGATAACCTAAAAATCTTGTGCTTTGTCTGCATTGACACAATGGAAACATTGTCAAAATGATCAAATGCATTCACTGAAATGAGAGTGATGTAATTCCAAAACCAAACCAATCAGATAAGGGATTAAAGTTTTGATAAAATGGACTGGAGTTTAGGGATATAATGAATAGGGACTTAATTGGGCAAGATGAGCATAATTTTTGAAGAACCTGAAGTAGAATAGTATTTACTGAGAAGTAAACTATCTTTAAGTGTCAGGTAATTATAATCATCATCTTCCATTCAACACTGGAAAAGTGGTTAACTACCTATGTTTACAGAAAAATCTTTTTCTTTTAAGGCACACATAATGATGTGATTTTGAAAGATAATTCCCCTCACATGTTCACATGGACAAGAACCTTGGCTACCTGCTTCTCTGAGGATCATGTCTGCTACTTCAAGGGTGTACCTGAATCCATCTGCATGCAACTGTAGATTGCCATATTAGGTAAATAAGTTAGAAAAATAAATATGACATTTTGTCTGACTTGTAGAATCCATGGTAGACAAAAATAATATGTATATACTCATAACATGGATGTAGAAACAAGACTGCCTGGGGTAATTGAAGTAAATATTGAGAAGGAAAGAGGGCAGGGGGAGGGGGGAGGTAATGCAGTCAAAATACATGATAAACTTCTAAGAAGGTATTTCTATTAAATTTCTCACTATGTAGAATGTGTACAAAACAAGGACAAATTTGTTAAAGATGTGAAATTTTCATCTTAATTCAGCTGATATTTATTTTACCAGTTAATTTACCAAAAAAATGTTTGACATACAGTTGGAAGGAACTGAATCATATATAAACCTGAAATACATTTAATATATTCAAATAAAAATTAAAATCCATTTAAAAATAATTTCTCAAGAAAATGAAAATGGACTTGGTGGTGGTGGTGCACGCCTCTAATCCTAGCACTAGGGAGGCAGAGGCAGGTGGATCTCTGTGAGTTAGAGACCAGCCTGGTCTGCAAAGCAAGTTCTAGGACAGCCAGGGCTGTTACACAGAAAAACCCTGTCTTGAAGAAAATAAAAGGAAGTAAGGAAGGAAAGAAAGAAGGAAGGAGGAATGAAGAAAGGAAGGAAGGAAGGAGAGGGGGAAGAGAAAAACAGTAAAAGGAAAAGAAAAAGGTGAAAACGAGAGCCTGAGAGTAGAAAAATGTTTACTTATATCATATATATAGTATATATGATAGATATGATAATATACATAAGATTTTACACCAAATATGTTACAGAGGCTGCTTACAGCACTGAAAAATATGGCACACAATGCAATCAAAGGTTGTCTTTAATTTTTAACATCTTAAAATTATTTCTCCTTACGAGAGAAAGAAATGGTGTTCATCTTGTCATGTTAATAAATAGATACCTTTATGCTATGTTTTTACTCATTTCACATTACCCTGTTCTTTCTGAACCCCTCTTTCCTCCCTCAAAAGAGTTCTACAGTCTTCTTTTACATTTCCTGTGATGGTTAATATCTATTTTCAATTGATAACCTCTGGAATTAGTTGGGAGATAGGTCTCTGGGAGTGCCTGTAGGGAATTAATTTAATTTAATTAATTATGTTAATTGAGGTAGGATTATATGTCCACTGTGGGTGGCTCCATTCTCTGAAGTAGACTGCATAAAAAGGAGAAAGCTAGATAAACGCAAGCATTCATTGTTTTCTTCTTACTCACTGCACATACAATGAGGCCTGCTGCCTTAAGCTCTTGCTGGTGTGACTTCCATATCATGATGGAATGTAACCCTGAATAGTGGGTCAAAATGGCCCTTTCTCCCTCCAGCTCTTTATGTTAGAGTATGCATCACAGCAGCAGAAATGTAACTAACACAGTTCCTATTCTGTTTTTATGTCCTCTAGATAATAGTAGATAAAATACAAACTTGATGAATGATGGAAACATGATACCTGTCTTTGAAAGTCTGCCTTATTTTGCTTAACATAAGGATCTCCAGGTGCAGCATTTTGCAGAAATTTTCATAATTTTTTTTTCTTTATGGATGACTAAAATTTCATTGTATGTATGTACCATATTTTCTTTTTTTTATTTGTCTTTTATGAATACCTAGTCTGCTTCTGTATTTCAGTTAGTGCCAGGGACCAGCCTCAGCAGTTTCAAAGGTCTCAAAGGGCAGGGATGTCTGGCAGGCTCAAGAAAAGACTGGGACACAGGAGTTGGTGCAAGCTGACGAGCTTTGTCATATCTGGAGATGTGCATTTTCTCCACCTTCTCCCAATCTGACTCAACCCCAGGCTTTTATTGTAATAACACAAGGAAATAGGGTGTGAGAAAATTCAACAGATGATTGAGTTCTCCACAATAGTTTCCAAAGTTGTTTTGGAAATCAGCAAAGTGTACCCGTGCCTCTTGATTGCACATAGAAGTTTCCAGAAAGAAAGCCAAAGCACACCAGCTTATTCTTTTGCAGGTTAATAATTATCAGAAAATCTGAGGTAATCACCCCAGAAGCTATCTACTTGTGGTTTTCTCAGAAAGCACAGAAATACAAGCAATGGTTTAAGCTACCAGACTGCTAGCTTCCTCTCAGCTTAAGTCCTTCGTCATCACTCTATAATTGGTCAAGTTGTCTTCTAAGTAGTTCTGAACAACTCTTGTCTTCTATCCTATCTATATTTCACTCCATCTACAGTTTTCTGCCACCAGCCTTCTGGGGTTTTCCCATGACCTGCATAACAGCTTTAACTCCTGCCGTTGTCACAATCTCAATATCATTTCTAATTTCATAGAAACCACCACAGGAGCAAGAGAAAGAAAACCATAAAGAACAATAGAGTAGGAGGAATACAAGACGCAGTAACAGTTGGATGCATAAGAACATGACATGCATATGCCATCAAATCTGCCCTCGGGACACAAGGGTTGTTTTCTCCCTGGCCCACAGAAGGCAGACTTAGTAGAACATCCAGTGGGGCAGGCCTGGAGGGATTGATGTCCTCATTCTCAGGTACCTCCAGCACAGATTCCACTGGCAACATGTCAGGCTTTGCAGATGCTGTCTCTGGCAAGTTAGTGTGAGTAATGCAGTAAACAACACGGATGTCTGAGGTCTTCCACAAGAGCATGAGCATATTCCCCACCTTGTAATTATTGCACTAGTAGAGGAATCTTGTATGGCAGATCATTATTGTAGCATTCCTGGTGTGGTGCTGGGTAAAACCAGTGATGTCTTCCATACTGCAATAGCAGAATGATAACTAGCCAACAGGATATTAATATCCTGACCAGTTCATTATTGACTTATCTATGTGCTGCAATTGAAGTATATAGTTTGTTCAGCAAATGGGACTTATTATCTAGTTATGATGGACAAACTAACAACAAGGGCAATAGCCTGTCTTGTTTGGGTGCCTCTAAGATCTCACTGACAAACAACTTGTAGAGAAGTAACTTGTGCATGGCACTGAGAATTTCATTTAAATGACCCATTTCTTCTGGGAGCAGCATTTAACCCCTGTGAGACACCTTTTTTCAAATTGCTTTTTAAAAGAAATTATGCTTTAATTAGCTTATGAACTGGTAGGGCTTCAGAAGGCTTCATCATACATCCTTAGCTTTGGTAAACTGACCCTCATTTCAAAACTCCTTTCCTCTACCCTCAGTTAAAACTTTGGTCCCAGTATTTCCATAACTCTGTTCTGTCACATCACATGTGTTATATTATCACATATTTTTGACTTGAGTTGCAAAGTCATAGGGTTCTGTATTACTTCTTCATTCATACTTTATTTTGGTTAACTCTTCTTCTGACCTCTCATTTTCCCATCCCCATCATTCCAGTATACCTCATTGAACTTTTCATCCCCAATATTCTCTCTTTCTCCTTTCATCTCAACTGTAATCTACTATCCTCTTTCTGAATTTTTGATTTGGCACATGTACTCCAGTACAAACACACAAAACACAGATTTAAAAATAGCATACATATGAGAGAGAATATTGCATTTGTCTTTGGAGAGCTGGATGACATCACTAAGAATAACTCATTTTGAATTCTGTAGTCAGAAGTTTTCCTGTGTCCTGCCCAGCCCACAGTTGGGGAAAATCTCTCCTATTTGCATCCCAAAGCTGCTTAGTCCCAAGCAAACACACAGAAGCTTATAATAACTACGAACTGTATGGCCATTAGCTCAGGCTTATTACTGACTAGCTCTTACACTTAAACTAACCCATAATTCTTATTTATTTTTAGCCACGTGGCTTGGTACCTTTTCTCAGTTCTGCCTTGTCATCTTGCTTCCTCTGTGTCTGGCTTCACCCTTCCTCTTCCCAGCTATTTTTTATTTTAGACAAAAGAGGGGAAATGTGGTGATATATTCTGTCCTCCAAAATATTGTGCACCCTAATAAAGTTCATCTGAGGATCAGAGGAAAAAGCCAGCCACTATATTAAATATAGATATCAGGCAAAGATAGCACATGCCTTTAATCCTATCACTCTGGAAGTAGAGATCCATCTGGATCTCTGTGAGTTCAAGTCTACACTGGGAACAGAGCCAGGCATGGTGGCACAAGCCTTAAATTTCAACACTAGTTAAGCATAAAGGTCTGGAGGTCTGTATAGATAGACAAGAAGTGACAGAGCTGGGCAGGAAGAGGAAGAGATGTAGCTTGGTACAGAAGAAATGATATGGCAAAACAGAAAGGCATACAGGTGTGGGTATACAGGAAGTAGGTCTCTTTGGCTGAGGATCTCCAAGTGGTAAGAAGATGGCTGGCTTCTTTCTGCTTTTCTGATTTCTCAGATTTTAACACCAATTTTTGGCTATGGGTTTTTTTATTAATAAGGCAATTTAGCAATTTGTCTAAAAGTTTCAACAATTTGCAACTATAATGATTAAAATTTTCTTTACTGGTAATATTGTACTGTGCATATGTAACATCTTGAACTTTTTGAAGAGTACTACAATAGCACAGGAAATAGTTGTAAGAACTGAGAAATGGGAATACATGAAATAAAAGAGGTCCCAAATGGCAAAGGAATGATCATTGAAATCGGGAGGCAGGAGTCCTTTCTTTGAAACAGTTACCATATTATCTAAAACTTTCACTACTTTGTCTGTTTTAACAGTGAAATAGATACATAAATATTTCTACATAAATATTAATAACAGATGTATTAAAAATAACAAATAACTAAATTTAATCTCAAATGGTAATGGGTAAAAATGTTCCCATCCGAAGAACAGATTACTGCCCAGCAAGGAAAAGGCAAAAGAAAATAATTCATACACTAACATATGCAGCAGCTTTGCATGAATCTCACAGAGAGTTTTTGAGCAAAAACATCACACACAAAAAAACAAAAATACTGACTTTTAGAAACCAAGGAAAGACTAATGTAAGTTGTAATACTACAAAATGAATCACTATTCATTTTGGAACACTGTTGAAGGCAAGAAATGAATGAAAAACTCTACCAGAAGACCCTTAGAAGCACTGTTATGTTATATGGAAGCCAATTGTTACTTCTATTTCTACCTTTTCCCATTCAAGACAACATGATCAGCTTGAACATAGGTTTATGGGAATATGATAGTTTTAAGGAACAAGTAAAAAAACAGGGATTTTCTTCATGAAGAAACACATGCTAAACATTTTCAGGAATATCATTGCTTTAGGAGAAACAAACAGTGTCTACTCCTTAAGATGCCCACAACAAAGCAACGGTAATTCCAACAATGGTTCCCACTAGAGAACTATAGTTTATTGAATGTACTTACCCATGCTCTTATGGGTGAGGAGTGCTTACAGGAGTATGAGGGACCCCAAAGCAGCTGCATAGACATTGGCTTCCCCACAGCTGCTTAAATGGAGTTCCCCTTCAGTTAAATTCCCAAAGCCTATACCATTGTACCCTCTGAGACTCCAAGGCCAATAAGGACAGAATGCATAGAAATGTCTGGAAAGTAAAAAAGAGAGTCCTGGAGCTCCCTACCTTCTCTAAGAGAAGATCAACAGTCCTTACCTTGAGAGTCACTTGAATGCAGGCGCAATGATGTGATGAAGATGCCAGTTGATAGGCCAGAAGAACCACATTCTGCAATAGGAAGTAAAAGATCATATTGGTATCTGGACTGAAATTTTGGTGACATTCTTACAAGAAATTGTCCAGAGTCACACTATATACTCATACTATATAATGTATATATTATATTGAGTTAATTATAATGTGAATGTTCAAAAGAGGCAAAATCTTGGACAATCGCATCACAAAAGTAGTCAGTAATCACTTAAAAAATGGTCATCAAAGTTAGTCATTGGCATTTTGTAAATTAAAACCATAACATGATAGCACTTTACATTATGAGTGTCTCATATTTAAGTTATACCTCCAATTATAAGTACTGCCCAGAATATTGAGCAGTTGTGACTACCTTATATTCCCCTGCACATGTAAAAAGATGTTATCTTTACAAAATATCTGAGTACATTCACAAAGTTATAGGTACACCTACCCAAAGTATACATAAATATGGCTACCAATCATTAACATGTTGATGAGTGATAGAAGCTAGATGTAAAAGAGTGCAGCCTGTGTGCTTACATTCACATCAAGAGCTAGAATAAGCCAAAATAATTTATGATAAGAGAAATCAGCTCTGTTTGCTTCAGGGAGAAGAGTCACTCAGGTGGTAAATTTGTCAAAATTAATAGTGCTTTATGCTGAGTGAACTTTACTGTGAAAATTATACTTCATTAATGAAATCAACAAAGGAAATTTCTCTGAATTTAATTTTTTTCAAACATCAACAATGTACTCTTGGGACTCAAGGTTTTCTTTATAGTCTTATTTGCACACTAAAAATGCTTGGAAATTTTTAAAATATGAAGTCTTGTGCCCCATTGCCAAATATTGAGAGCTTCTGGCTTTCTATGAAGCCATTTCTTTATTAATTATAAAATAATGACTTAATTGGATAGTATCAAGGCATCAGTTAGAACAGAAATCAATCTCCATGCTCAAATGTACTCTCATGCCTTCTTTAAACTGATCTGATATTAGTAGACATACATATAGTATTTAAAAACGGGAGTTGGAGAGATGGTTCAGTGATTAAGAGAACTGGACACTCTTTCAATTCTCAGCACCACATGGCAACCTTGCAAACATCAATAACTCCAGTTCCATTGGATCCAATGCCATTTTCCAGTCTCTGCCAAACACTAAACATATGCATTGACACAGGCATACATGTAGGAAAAACAACAGTACATAAGAAGTAATATAAATGCATTTTAGTTAAAAATTATACATTCTAGAAGGTATTTTAGTCTACAACAGTTAGCTATGAAACTAAAATAGAGCTTTTATTGTTTTTAATTTCTTCTGATGGTACATAGAAAATACTACAGTAGTCAACAGCACCAAGATTTTGAATAGAGAGTTTTTTTTTTTTTGAAAAAATAACTGAATCCTAAAGGATGGAAAATGAGGTGACCATAAGAGGAAACTGGCATGGAAGTCAATGGCCCTTGGCCACAAAAGGACATCAAGCCCCAGAATGAGACTCAGAGCTCATTACTAAAGCAAACTGAATTGCAATAGCAAAAGCAATACAATTTAAATAAGTAGTGTAGGAGAAAGAACTTATGACTAATCCTCTAGCAATCTAAATCAAAGACCAATTCAAACTACTTTTGGAAAATTCCTTTCCTACTTTAGGCAGCTTCACCTTAATGATACTATGACTTCTAAGCCTGGAATACTTGAGAATTTGTGACTCAATTTTAACTCCAGGACATAATACATTCCCGGATGTGGGAGAACTTACAGGGGTGCATTTTGGTGTTCTGAGCAGCAGAAAATTCCAGGGCCAGAAAGGTCAAAGCTTTATTTTGTGTATCAGGAGATAAAGAGGTTAAACAGTCACAGAATGGAGGAAGGAAGGAAAGA